TTATGGTCCCAAGCCAAGTTTCTGTACCCAAACTATTTTTTAAAATAACAAAATCCAGTCGTTCTTCACGTATTGTGCATGTCTTCTTTGACGTAAGCATTAAAAATCACAACACATCTTGAAACTGTGCTACAAATGGCTCCGAAAAATAACAAAGTAAATATCTATAACACATTCCAAAACGGGCAGTATTTACTTGTCACTAGCCCGCTAATAGCCAGTTTTAATATACAGCAAAGACTTTTTAAAAAATGCAACAAACAAATTAATACTATTGTCTCTGATCTCTATTGAAAAGTTTCAGCTTGCTTTGTATCTCTCTGCGCCACCGTAAAACCCGTAAAACGTGTACCTTATGGTGGCATTTAAAGGACACGATTTAATATTTTCTACATTGCTATTCAGATTCACGTATCACGTGTATTTCGTGTCTCTCTTCGTGCTGATTCTGTTCTTTTTCAGGTGTCAGGTTTGGAGCAGACACTGACGACCAGGGTACCCCACTCCTGCTTTCTATCTTCCTGATCAGCTCGGTTTTTCTTGTTATTATTTGTTGCTGCAAAGTTGTTCAAACCATCTGTGTATGTCGCTCTCTGTCTTCCTCTACCCTTCTTTCCCTCTATCATTACACACAACAGCAGTTTCTTTAGTCCAGTTGGTCTCTTTAAGTCGCCAAATAATTTCAATTTTTTTTCCAGATGGTCCTCATCCTTTATCTTTCACAACTTGCCATTCGAGCATTTCTCTGTTTGTTTCACTCGCTGTCAATAAGATTTTGATTGACGTTTGTTTTGTTCTCCCATGATTTACTTTGCATTAGAAACATACAGTAGGTTGCACTTACTTTCTTAATAGAGGGAGTGCTCATACTGAGCGGATTGTACAAGCCCTTGGAGGCCTACTGTGCCGATCCTTTTGTAGACTTCAAATAGACAAGTCATGACTCATAAATATCCTTACAGTATTGAAAAGGGTATAAACTCCATCGGATATTATACTCACCTTGGGTATAAACTCCATCGGATATTATACTCACCTTGCCTTGGACATTTATGTGTTTTACATATGAACAATCATATTGATATTAACAGATAGTATATATATATATATATATATATATATATAAAATTTCCGCTCATCACATGCCAGCAGCAATTATTTACTTCATATATAAAATTTCCGCTCATCACATGCCAGCAGCAATTATTTACTTCAGCCAGTTTTCGCCAACTCATCTCATACTTGGCTGCCGGGACATTCCTAATGTGCGCGGTGCCTATACACTTGCTTCCCATTCGTGGTCTCGCTTGTCAAGTCGCATATTTCATCATTTCTTTTCGAGAGGGTGTGTGCTTTTCATCAACAAACTGAATCTTAATTAACTTTTGGGCCGTTAGTACCCAGCAACTGATCACCCATTCGATAAGTCACGGTTTGTTGAATCAGATCTTAAATAATTCATGAACCTTCCGGAGCACAGTAATCTATAATTTTTGTAACGCTGCCAAACGAGATATTATAACGTCCACGTTCGACTAAAACTCTTTTAGACGCCAATTAAGTAACATTCTTTTGAGGAAAGTTTAGGTGAAAGGGAACTGGGTTGCTTTTAACGTACCCTTCTCATGCACTTTGCATAAATGGAGAATGAAGACCATACAAAATATATACTTTAGGACATATCATAGAGGACTAGCTTTTAGAGAGAGGCTTTATGTTTAGTGCAAATTGAAGAAATTGATAGCTCTGACCAAACTTCCAACGCACAAACTGGGCTTTTTTATGAATATTTTAAAAAAAAATATGACGTTCTACTTGTACATGAAGCCATGGTACAATTTTAAAAAATTGTTCTATTGATACACAAATTTGCGTACACATAGATCCCTTAAAATCATTGAGATAGCTCGCACACACATTCAGACACACATTTAATCCCGCCCCACCCCCCTTTTCCACAACACGCACGTACACTAATACAAAAGCAGTTCCCATATCTGTATAAACGTAAAGTAATTATATGGCAGCTCAGTTTTACCTGGTAATCGCCATTCCTCGGTCTGCAATGAATTTTTGATAATTCCGAAAGTGGACCGGGTAATTTCGAAACCTTTTCACATGCAAACATGACTGTGCAAGCTTCTCTAGAAACACTCACGAAGGCAACGGAAATAAAAGCAAAAGCCACATCCAAAGACATTATTTCTCCAGGGTCAGGAGTTAAGAATGGGACAGCTTTTTTTATTTTTATGACTACAATCACACTCCCAAGACTGTAAAGCGATAAAGACGTTTTGAATGCAAAACCTAATGCATTTTTCCCATTTTCGCTAAATACATCTCGTTTACTTTCAAGGAATAAGTACACGTGAGTATTCAGCTTTTCTATCCCTTGACTAGATTTCTATTGGGATGTTTCATTAAAACTAAATACGTGTACTTTCACGTGCCTTTTGTTGGGAACCCAGTCAGCAATGGAAAACTGGAGCAGCAGTATTGTACATGTTTGTCTCTGTTTGTCTACTTGTGTGAATGTGTGTGTGTGTGTGTGTGTGTGTGTGTGTGTGTG